AAAAAAAAAAAAAAAAAAAAAAAAGGTTTGAGGGGAGGTTAGGAATACAGCTGAGTAGCAAAGTACTTTCCTAGCATACCTGAGGCCCTGTGTTCAATCACCAGTACTGAAAAAGGGTTTATTGCAAAGTTGAGTACCCCTCATCCAAATTCAAAATGCTTCAAAATCCTAAGCATTTTAAAACACTAACATAATGCCACAGATGAAAATTCCACACTTGACTTTCTATGGTGGGTTACACTCACAAAAGGGCTGAACTGAAAATAATACACTACATAAAATTACCTTTAGGTTATGAGTATAAGATGTACATATTAAAACAACAACAACAACAACAACATAGTTTTGTGTTTAGACCTACATTCCATCCCCAAGATAAATCTGTATCTAAAACTATTCCAAAACCCAACTAAGGGTAATGTTTCTATCTTCATTTTTATATCCTGCTGAGTACTCAGCATTTGAAGTTTATGATGGTTTAGTTCAGTTTGGTTTGATTTTTGTAGTAATGTGGTTTAAACCCAAGGCCTTAAGCATATTAGGTAAGCAATGGCCTACTGAGCTACATCTCTGGCCCATTTTATGCTTTGAGACAGGATCTCACTACATTGATCAGGTTGACCTCAAACTTGTGATCCTTTAGCCTCAGCCTCCCAAATTAACTGGGATTACTGGTAAGCACCACTATGTCTGGCACAATAGAGCTCAACAGTTTTTTTCTTTTTTCTTTTTTGTGATACTGGGGATCAAACTTGGGACCTTATGTTTGCCAGGCAGACACTTAATGCTGCTAAGCTATATCCCCACCCCTGCCTGGCACTGTAGAAAAAAATTTTTTTTTCCAAAATAGTGTCTTGCTAGTTTTATAGTTCAAGCTATAAAACTAAGTAGGCTAGGGGCCGGGGAGATGGCCCAGTAGAATAAGTGCTTCCCTGGCAAGCACAAGGGCCTGAGTTCAATCCCTGGTTCCGCAAAAAAAAAAAAAAAAAAAAAAAAAAAACTAAGTAGGCTAGCCTCAAACTTGCAATCATCCTGCCTTAGCCTCCTAAGTGTTGAGATCACAGGAATGTATCATCACATCCAGCTTGAAATTAGTATCTTTTGAAGTTAAAATTACTCCACTCTTAGCAATTTCAAGTTATATATAGATGAAAAAATGTAAATTTCTAACATGTAACTATAAGATAAATTTAAAAATTGTTGAATTAAATTTGCTTATTGGATCTTATATATATCAGACCTTTTATGTAATGATAGAAGCTACAGAAAAATCAAAAGTTATGCTTGCTCTTAGCTTCAACTATTTTATTCTTTTTTAAAACTATTTTATTCTTAAACTTATATTTTCACAATGTTATTTCTTTTTCTTTTCTTTTTTTTTTTTTTTTTAATGTTTTTGGTACAGGGTCTCACTACAAGCTCTGACTCATAGTGATCCTCTGGTTTTCAGTCTCCCCAGTGCTAGGATTACAGGTGGCCACCACCAAGTCCAGTCTCGGTGGCCAGTTCAGTGTGCCAGGGGCGGGGCCAGTGCCAGTGGCATATGTGGCGCTGGGGATCAAACCCAGGTCCCTGCATTTGCCAAGTAGGCACTTAGATTGCTGCACTATCTTGCTGTCCCTTACCGTTAAGTTTATTCCAGAATTTAATCATAATCCTTTTACAAGTAACTTTTCACAAGGACAACAAGACCAGTTCTACTTTAACTTTCCTGGATAAACAAAATACAACAAGAGAACAAGAGGGAATTTTCCTCTCAAATCAGTATAGAAATAGCTACTTTGATGCTCTATAATAAAATAATATTTATTAGTATTAAAGACTTTACATGGTTTACCTGAAGAACAACAACTATCCAGGTCAGTTGGTTATATCCCTGAAAAAATCCATTCTTTGATACCAATTCTCCATCATAAACATATACACCCATCAATCCAAATATACTCCCAAAGAAACCTAAAAAAAATGAAGTCTATGTCACACAGTTTTTCTGAAGATATCTTTATTGACATTCCAAATCATTTCATACTTTATACTTAATTTTTTTTAGTTATTATAAACTTCCTTTCTTTCTCTTGCCCTCCCCACCCCCTTCTTCGACAGTGACTCATTAAATAACAAAGTTGCCCACGCTGAATTCAAGTTTGCAGTCCTCCTGCCTCAGCCTCCCAGAATGCTAGGATTATAAGTATGTGCTACCATGCCCAGCTGGTCTACATAAATTTAACAACAAAAGTATAGTTGGTACTGTATTATGATTGTAAGACATAAGAATATAAGAAAACAAAAGCAATCTAAAAAAAGACCAAAGATACTGACCTTCAAAGCACTAAAACAATGCATTTTTAAATAATATATTGAATTAGCTACATAATTATATTGCTATCCCAACAGAAATTACATGATCATATGTCTGCTCATTCAAATATTTGGAAGATTTTTTTTTTTGTATTTAGTACAGTGTGTACAGGGTTCCACTACGTAGGTTGGACTCGTAGTGATTCTCCTGTTTTCAGCCTCCCAAGCACTGGGATTACAGGTGTGCGCCACCACTTCCAGTCTCAACTGCCGTCTCAATGAGCCCCAGCAGCTGGTGCAGCACACTGGGGATCCAATCTTGGCTGCTGCACTCTGTCTAAGCAGGCGCTGTAGTCTGCTGAGCTATCTGGCATATATATATATATATATATTTACTTTCATATATGCATATATAAAAGGTCACATATGACAACATCGTTTTCTATTTAGAAATTTTATTTTTTAAATTTTAAAGAGGGAAGAAACAAAAATAATAACAAAGATAAAAACAAAGCACCATAACACAATAAGTGATATAGAATTTCAAAACAGGAATTAACAATGGTTATTATATTACATATTGTTATCATCAAATTTGTTGGTCAGACTACCAGATATAGGCATGTAAAATTGATCAAATAGTTAAAACATTAACTCTTTCTTTTTATAAATCTTGGATTTTTTTTGTCCTTTTTATCATAATTAGAAATTTTAAAACTATAATAATCAATATTCAAAAAACTCAGGACTGAGAAAAAGTCATATAACGAGACACCACCAGAATGTGTATGGATTATTGAAGTTTATTGTTAGGGCAATTTAGCTCAGTGAATGCAAAACTATCTTGTTTACTGAATTCTCTGCAGTAGTCCCTATTCCAACACTATTGGACCTAAGAAATTTCCAAGAGCACTGCTGCAGAAGTGTATCTACAAGATCCACATTTTTTTAAGTACATGTTTGCAAAACATGATTACACTTTGTGTGGGACATTGGTATATGTACATAACACATCTTAATTTTTTTTTTCATCATTTCCTCTCTCTCCCCTCCCTTCATTTTTTGGTTCAGGGGCCACTTCTTATGGGTAATTTGGAAATATATGCAAAGGACTAGGATAAATAAATCTTTATATACATAAAGCCTTAACTAGGCAGTTTTCTGGAAAGGAATTGAAAAGAATGTAAAATACTGTTTATTCTTATGAGTATTCTTTTTTTTAAAATGTGTTTGGTGCAGCTTTGACTAGTAGTGATCCTCCTGTTTTCAGCCTCCCAAGGGCTGGGATTACTGGTGTATGCGACCACACCCTATCAGGTGGCCAGCTCATCAAAACCCCGGGGTGGGACTGGCACAGTATGTAGTGCTGAGGGTCGAACCCCAGTCCCTGTGCTTGCCTAAGCAGGTGCTTAGCCCCCTGAACTATCTCACCAGCCTGCTCTATATTCTTTCTTTTTTTAAAAAGTATTTTTTTTAAATTTTATTTATTTGTGTGTGTGTGTGTGTGTGTGTGTGTGTGTGTGTGTGGCCAGCTCAGCCCACCAGGGGGCAGGGAGGGCTGGCATGTGGTGCTGGGGGATTGAACCACAGTCCCTTTGCTTTTGCTAAGCTTGTTCTAAGTAGGTGCTTTAGACCACTGAGCCATCTCACCAGCTCCTGCTCTATATTCTTAATGTATCTAATTGTCAATATGAAATTAATTCTACCAGATAACTACAAAATGTTCCCAAATATATCTTTTCATTTATTTGGTATAGGGTCTCACTATGCAGCTCGGACTCATAGTAGTGATCTTCCTCTCTTATCCTCCCTAGCACTGGGATTATAGGTTATTATAGGTGTTCACTACCACACCTGGTTTTGGTGGCTGGCACGGTGTGGAGCTGTGTTGGCATGAGGTACCAGGGATCAAACTCAGGTACTTGCGCTTGCCAGGCAGGCAGTTAGATCACCAATTTAATTTAATTTATGAAAGTAATTGAGGTGGCCGGGTATGGTGGTGCATCCCAGTGGTGCACCCCTGTAATCCCAGCACTAAGGAGGCCGAGGCAGGAAGATCACTGTGATTTCAAGGCCAGCCTGAGCTACAAAGTGATTTCAAGGCCAGCCTGAACTGCATAGTGAAAGACAAAAAAAACCCACCAAAAACATAATTATTACACACACACACACACACACACACACACACACATATCCATTGGTCCATCCTTCCTTCTTTCTTCCTCTCTCAATGTCTTTTCCTTATGACATTACTGGGAGGTAGTAGAACTTTGTTGTCTTTTTGAAACAGGGGCTCACTTTGTAGTCCAGGCTGGTCTTGAACTCACAATAATCCTCCTGCCTCAGGCCTCCTAAGTACTGGAATTATACAAGTACACCACCACTCCCAGCAGAACTTTAACACGGTGGGAACTAGTAGAAGGTCTTGGGTCACTGGGGGGCATACCATCTTCACTTCCTAGCAACCACAGAGTGAACAGATTTTTCTAACATGTGCTCCTATCATGACTTACTATCTCACCACAGGTCCAAAAACAACACATCCAACTAAACATGGACTGAATTAGCCAAAATAAAACTCTCTTTATAAATTAGTTTTTCTGAGCCAGGGAGATAGCTCAGTAGAATAAGTGCTTGCCTGGCAAGCACAGGGTCCTGAGTTCAATCCCTGGTACCACCTCTGCACACACAAAAAAAAATTAGTTTTTCTGAGATATTTGTTACAGAAATGGGAAATTAACAAGTACAAAGATGCATAGACATCATACTATCAGTATGTACAGACCTACTACATTCTAACAGTTGTATGATATTCTACTGTCTGAATAATATATGTATATAACAATGTAATACTGTGTCCCAGGAACTATCCTAAGTATTTTAGGCAAATTACTCACTATAAATCTATGAGAGATATATGTATGTCCACTTTATAGATGAAGAAAATACAGGTTCACTATAGTAAGTAATGGATTCATATGAATCCAGGTAGTATGGTTTTGTAGTCTGACATTTTTCTTTCTTTTTTCTTCTAGTTCAGGTTGGCCTTGAGCTCACTTTGTAGCCTAGGCTGCCCTCTAACTCACAAGGACCCTCCTGCCTCAGCCTTCTCAGTGCTGGGATTACAGGTGTGAGCCACCACACCTGCCTTCTTGTTTTTTATTTCCCTTCACAGTTTTGGAATCTATGATTTTAGCCACTATGCTATTTAATCAAATCAGTAATTTTGTCTGTCTCCTCTTTTTGACAAGTATAACCAATGCTAAAATGAAGAACGTTGGACACATATTTTTTTGTTTTTGTAGGATAAATTCTCCTTTGGGTATTAAATTCTTACATTAAATCCTACATTGTTTTTAAAAGTTTGTAGGCATCACCAATTGAGATCTTATACAGTTGTACCAATTTGAATTCCTAGCAACCATAAGTAATAGTTCCTGTTTTTCTATTCTTAGGCTAAGGTTTTTTATCAATTTACTAATCTTTTGTAATTTAGTATATGTTGTTTTTTTGTTCTTGTAACATTAAGTGGACTATAACTTACTTAAGTATCTTTTCAAAACTTCATTTGGCTTGACATTTTTCTGTGAGAACAGTGCTGTCAGATCAAACCAGAGATCTATGAAGCACCAAAGAATCAAGAATTCTGATTTTATCTTCCACTTTTACCTTACAGTACAAGAAAATTTTAGCTAACTCATACAAACCTTTTTTCTATTTACAAATGTATATAAATAAGTGATATTAGTGCTTTATGTGTATTACCTCATTTAATCCTCATAACAACACAAAAAATAGGTATAATTAGGTACTAAACTTCATAGAAAGCTGGGGAGATAGCTCAGTAGAATAAGCACTTGCTTGGCAAGCACAAGGGCCTGAGTTCAATCCCCAGTTCCACAAAAAAAAAAAAAAAAAAAAAAAAAGAAGAGTGTCATTTTGGGCTGGGTAAATAGTTCAGTAGAATAAGTGCCTGCCTGGCAAGCACAAGATCCTGAGTTCAATCCCTGGTACCACAAAAAAAAAAAAAAAAAAAAAGAATAAACTTCATAGATGAGGAAACTGAAGCACAGAAAGGTTAAGTAACTTCTCAAGGGTCACACAGGTGATAAGTAGTAAAATAGGACTGAGATGACATCAAAACCAAGTACTTGGGGGCCTGGCCCTAGCTCAGGCCTTTAAGTGGCTGCTTCCACAAAGCTGTCAGCCTCAGGTTGCTGGAGTTCGAACCTCACACCTCTCCCGCTGGCCAAAAGTGCCCTGAAGGCATTCGAGCAACCAAAAAAAAAAAACCAAGTACTTAACCACTTTACTATATACACACTTTTTCTAAAATGGTAAATTAAGTTGCTTATTGAATTCAAGCCCATGAATCGGCCTTCTTGACAAACTGATCACAAGATAATTAAATTCAAAAATATATGTATTTAACTGGAATCTTTTTTTTTTTTTTTTTTTTTAATGCATTTGGTTGTTGCAGGGTCTCACTATGCAGCTTGTACTCATGATCCTCTTGTTTTCAGCCTCCCTGCCCTGGGATTACAAGGGTACACCACTACGCCCAGACTCTGGCCATCTCAGCACACCCTGAAGGTGGGGCTGGCCTGGCATGTGGTGGTAGGGATCAAACTTTTTACACTTGCCTTAGCTTGCCTAGGCAGGCACTTTAGTCCACTGAACTATCTCACTGGCCCTTAACTTGAATATTCTTATTAAAAAATATATTTTGGGCTAGAGAGATAGCTGGGCAGTCTAAACCCCTGCTTCGCAAGTGCAAGAACCCAGGTTTGATCCCTGGTAATGCATGCCATGCCGGCTCCATACCCAATATCAAAACCAGGCATGGTGGCACACACCCATAATCCCAGCACTGGAAAGGCTGCGACAGGAGGATCACTACCACTCTGAGCTGCGTAGCAAGACCCTGTACCAAATAAATAAATGATTTTTTTTAAATGAAAATAAAATAAAAAATACATTTCTACCAATTTAACAGAGAAGCAAATTCTATTGTGATAAAATGGAGATTTGAGTACTTTTATATGATTGGAAACTAGGTAAGAGGATAAGTTTTAATCAAATTTGGAAGGTGTAGCTGAAAATATGAGTCATTTACTCTTCAGAACTTGTAAAAACAGCCATAATTGTTGATCAAGAAAAACACAGTATATCTAGTAAGTATATGTGAGGGGAGGGAGGTAAAAAATAAGCACCAAAATCACAAGGATAAAGATTTTAAAAAGATGGTATTGATCTGCAAATGAGCTGCTTCTCACATGAACAGTTTTATTTGTTTGTTTTTTGTTTTTTGCGGAACCGGGGATTGAACTCAGGCCCTTGCACTTGCCAGGCAAGCACTTATTCTACTGAGCTATCTCTCCGGCCCACATGAACAGTTTTAAATGTAGTACTATATAACATGAATATAAGATAAGAATACTAAATGTTGGAATCCATGTGTGAGAACTGAAAATGTAACAATACTATAAATATTTGTTGAAAAGAGATTCTTTTTTTTTTTTGCATTTGGTACAGGGTCTACGGGATTGCACTACAAAGATCATATTTGTAGTGAGCCTCCTATTTTCAGCCTCCCAAGCACTGGGATTACAGGTGCGCGCCACTATGCCCAGTCTCAATCACTGTCTCAGCAAGCCCCATAGGGGCTGGCATGGCATGCTGGGATAGAACCCTGGTCCCTGTATTTGCCTAAGCAGGTGCTTTAATCCACTGAACTATCTGGCCAGCCCTGAAAGGAGATTCTCTAATGTTTGTGTGTGTATGTGTTTTTTTTAAGTGACATATTTCCAGTTAGAAAAATGTTGGCTATAACATAACACTTTGAAATATAAAGGACTTTTTTTTTAAGGTACCAGGAATTGAGCTCAGGACCTAATGCTTGTGCTGCTGAGCCCATAAGGACAGTTTTATGGTTTGTTTGGGTTTTTCCCTCTATTTAGGGCAGGGTCTACAGGATCCACTGGGTCTCACTACACAGGCCAGACTCCTGGTGATCTGCCTGTTTACAGCCTCCCAAGAGCTGGGATTACTGGCGCAGGCCACCACACCCAGGCTCAATTGCCTTCTTAGCTGGTCCCAGGGGCGGGGCTAGCACCAAAGGCCTGGGGACTGAATCCCCAGCTCCTGCGGCTATTAGCAGGAGCTTTAATTCGCTGAGTTCTTTGGCTGGACCTACACTCTAATTTCAAATCTAAAGGTTTGTATTTTTTTGTTATTGTTGTTTTGGTACCAGGAATTGAAGTCACAACCTTGCACTAGCCAGGCAGGCACAGTGCTGCTCAGTTACATCCCCAGGTATAAATGGCATTTTTAAAAAGGGAAAACATTGCCAGATAATTGCACATATAGCAGATTTTAGGCAAGGCTTATTCTTTTAAATGTATATCGAAATCTGTAAGTACAACATAATCACCTTTTAAAATATATTAGAGAACATTTAAAACTTACCAAGCTGAATATTTCTTATCCATACTGATTGTTTTGTTTCTTTTAATATTTTCTCAAAATACACTCCAGCAAAGCCACTTGAAAAACAGGCTGTGAGAACTGCCATGAGGCCCACAAATTGAGAACCAGCAGAGAGTTCTTTAGAATCAAGTTCTTGGGACTCTGAGGGCCACTAAATACAAGCAAAAGTTGATGTTTAATTTTTATAGTATTTTACAAAGTACATATTAAAAGCCTCCACAGAACTTAACATAGAAATACATACGGTGTCACTTTTGGGAATCGCAAAGGAAAGCTTTTGAATAAAAATCCTAGAATCATTTTCCCCCTGTAGTAATAATACATTACTATTTCAACTTATGATTTCAAAAAATACCCCAAGGGACAATAAACACTTTACATTTCATTTATTACAGAGACCAATCTATTGCTTTAAGATAATCCTTTAAAGGCTAATTTTGTTTTTTCAATTTGTATATTTGATGCAGGGTTTCACTACACAGATGGGACTCATGGTGATCCTCCTGTTTTCAGCCTCCCCAGTCCTGGGATTACAGGTATGCACCGCGACACCGAGACTCTGTCACTGGCTCAGTGCACCCTGGGGGTGGAGATGGCGTGGCAGGTGGGACTGGTGATCAAAACCCTGGTCCCTGAGTTTGCCAAATCAGGTATTTTGTCTGATGAGTTATCTCACTGGCCCAAAAGGCTTTTTTAAAGACTACCACTGCAAACAGGTAGATAAAAGAATTAGAACCACATCTTCCCTATGTTACTCTGAAGAAACAGGTAACAGGAAAAAAAAAAAAATTGTAAATCAAGCAAAATGAAGGAACACTTGTCTAAAAAGTCTATTTTTTCACTTCTCTGATTTTTTTCTATGAGCTAGACTTCTTAAAGCCATTTTTCCTTTTGAAATATACTGTTCTTTATTACAAAAGACTTCTCAATTAATGTATTTAATAACTCAATACCAAAATTGAAGTCCTGTGGGCATAACAGCACACACTTATAATCCCCAGCACTCAGGACACTGAGGCAAGAGAATGATTATGAGGGTCAAAGCCAGTCCGACCTACAATAGTGATTCTAGGCAGGGGGGAATGATGTACTAAAATTCTGTCTCAAAAAACAGAAACAAACAAACAAAAAACCCCAAAGTTATTCATTCCTTATTCAGCTTACCTTCACTGTAATACTGACAGTGTTATTAATTCCTTGCCTCTTGAAATTTCCTGCTTTACTTGGCCCTTTCCTCCCAATCTTTGTTTTTCCAGTACTCAACAGACTTTTTATAGCAATGGAAATGTTCTATAATTCTGCTGACCAATAGGGTAGTCACTATTTTCATATGGATAATGAACCACTGATATGTGGTTAATATGATTAAAGAACTGAAGTTTTCAACTAGGCATGGTGGTGCACACCTGTAATCTCAGCACTCAGGGACTGAAGCAGGAAAATTACAATATGTTTGAGTCCACCCTGAGCTATGTAATGAGTTCAAGGTCAGCCTAAACTACACAACAAGATCTCAAAAAACTTAAAAA